CTTCAGACCTCAAAGTATTTGTTTTCTATGTAGATGTGTCATTCCTGTGTGTCGGGTTGAGAGTGCCCATAGGACACAATGGAATAACACATCTACATAGAAAACAAACATTTTGAGCCCAGAAGCTGATCTCAATAACGATCGAAACGTTGGCACGATAATGAAAATGTTTCCCTAAAACCTACGTCACACCAGACTGCATCTCACCATTTCCAAATAACTATATAAAAACGTTACGAAGTGGAACAGCAGATAACGAAAAAAAAATGGCCCGTTGTAATTCAACCCAAATGTGTTCATTTTCTTTAGCCATCTAAATTTGTAGTAAAGGTTTTAAAAAATACAGAATTGATTTATATAATTGGTCCACGTTCATGGAAGTGTCTTTTCGTTGTTTATAAATTTTTATTATTTAACCTCATTTAATACAATCCTGAATATCATTTTGTTATACTGTATTTGTAAAAAATGGAGTGTTGCATAAGCCTGAAACCCATAAAAGACAAAGGCAGAAAAATATATTAATATATTTCTGAACATTTTTGTATCCATTTGGACTTGTCGCACGATTTCAGATTAATTCGATGAAATGCTTTGTATAAAGTTATATTCCATTATTAAAGGTGTTTTAATAAATATACAATCAAAACTTTGGAACGATCCCAGCGATCTACTCGAAACTTTGAAATGTCACGTCATGTCACAAACGTTGCTACCATAAATGCACTAGAAAGAGAGAAATGAAGTAAAACAATTAAATTATTTTTGTTTATTTCTATCATATTTTTCTGACTTAAAAAATTGTCATGTAGTTGGTCTCGTTTAATATGTATGATCATGCATATTATTTTATCCTTATAAATAGATTTAAAAAAATCTCATAATATTTGGCATGCGGTTAGGTGTTTATTATTTTTTGACCTAGAAGAAACAAAGGAAATTAAAATTCAATTTAAATGGTTGATCCTACATCCTTATCGTACCTTTATTATTTCAAATGTGAACAAAACTATTAAATAATTTATTTATTATATTAANGTCTGGATTGGCTGTTCTTCCGAATCCGTCATGCATCGATGATAAAGTAATCCAGGTTTTCACATTACAAAGCAATTCACTAATTTCGTGGTCCTCTTGACCAATTAATTTATTACAATTAATTAAGGTTTTTAGTTGAGATAAAAAAGTCAATGGCACGAACGGGATTCGAACCCACGATCTTCGGCTTGATACGCCGCTGCTCTACCACTTGAGCTATCGTGACCTCGATCCAATCGGACACCAACTTCCCATCTCAACCCCACCTTTTGAGTTTTCCCTCCTTTTTGCCATTTTTACTAACTCTTTGCCAACTGACCAGTGTCACTCCTCTCAACTACGGACCGCTGACTACCATTTTTGGTAGTATCCACCGTTTGTAAACCTCTCCAGAAGGATCTACGTGCTTTCTTCCCCGTGGCTACTGCTACCCTCTGGTTCCACTATTTTGCATTTATTGAGCTTTTCTTTGGAGAGAATTGTCGAGCATCCAAGGAAGACGTAAAATGTATTCCTTTTACTTTTACCTATCCTCACTCTAATCTTTCAATGCATTGATATAATAATCTTTACGTAAATAATTATTAATTAGTTACACAACTAATTAGCTATTCAAAAATAGTCTTCTTACAACGTTTTTAAAGTAACCAAAAACTTATTGCATCCTGTTAGGATTTACAAAATTTCTGAATATAAAATAAATTTACGATTACAATAAAATTTAATACATTAACTATCATTCACAAATCTATTAAAAAACTCATTCTTCCTGAAAAGTTTTTCTTCATAAAAAATATCACGTCATGTATATGTAAGTTATATACGAGTATAAACATTGTGTTAAATAAATAATGTGATGACAATGCTAGGATGCAGGTGTTGCTTCTAGAATTGTCATCAGCACTCTCTCCCACTCTAGAAATTTTATAAGGATTTTCATTTTAACAAACGTTAGTCTTAAGCCACATTTCCCGAAAGCATATCGACGAGATTTGATTTAGATTCATAAAGTTCTGAATGTGTATCAGTAACTCATTTGTAATTTCTTTGAATAAAAGTTTTTTAAAAACACGTTCGTCCAAAGAAATTATTTAACTTATATATAATTTCATATATATATAATTTATCATTTATATATATATAATTTCAAATTTCACCATTTGGTTGACAGCAAAATACAAGTTTATTACAAAATACAATCGATTTACAAGTTTAATTTGAACTTGAGAAATAAGTAAGAACAATTCGGTAAAATTAAGTCTTTTGTAATTTAACTTCGTTTTAACAATTGACTTTAAATGCCTATAAACCTCTCGTTAAACACGATCCTTGTAGTGTTGTTTTTTTATGGCCCGAAGGCCGTTTCTTACTTGGTTTTATTCTTTCTAAATGGCTTGCCTCTGAGGGCATAAAAACAGGCCAAATACATGTTTACTGGGTCATGTCATTACAACGGCATTTTTGCGATTCTGCTAAAGCTGGCTGTTGCCCAATGCCAAAAGACATATCTAAACACGAACAAAACGAAAGAAATAGAAGAATATAGAAAATATTTGTGTGGTGTTTAGTTGACTGTTACTTGATGATTATTTGGAGGTTGTGAGATGCGATCTGGCATGACGTAGGTTTTAGAAAACATTTTCTTTATCGTGCCAACGTTTGATTCTAATCGAGATCATCTTTAGGCCCTGGGATTTATAAACATTGTTTAAATTTTACATATACACGTAAAAAAAATTATAAAATTCATACAATTTATACAATTTTCTAGCATTGTATAAATTCATTTTTTATATGGGATTTATACAAATTTTATCTCAATCAATACCTTACCCAAAGATAAACTAATTGAAAGATGTTATTTGGTCAATCGGACCACGAAATCTAATGAATTTGATAAGTGAAATGAAATATCTTCACTAAAGCTCTCCATGGCTATTTCATTTGTCGCCGAGAATCAAATAGATTACACGGCATTTTAAAAGTGGCAAAAAGGAGGGAAAATCCGTGAGGTGGGAAGTTGGTGTCTGAGCGGATCGAAGTCACGATAGCTCAAGTGGTAGAACAGCGGCTTATTTAGCCGAAGGTCGTGGGTTCGAATCCCGCTCGTGTCACTGACTTTTTTATCTCAACCAATACCTTACAAAAAGATTAAAGATAAATTAATTAAAAAATGTTATTTGTTCAATCGTACCACGAAATCTAATGATTTTATAAACATTGTTTAAATTTTACAAATACATGTTGTATGTGAAAAAATGAATTTGTGCAATTTTCTAGACTTACATAAATTCATTTTTTCCCATCCAATATGCATTTGTAAAATTTAAACAATGTTTATAAATCCCTGGCCCTGAAGATGATCTCAATAAAGATCGAAACGTTGGCACTTTTAAAGAAAATGTTTTTCTAAAATCTACATCACACCAGACCGCATCTCACGACCTCCAAATAATCTTAAAAAATATATTTTTCATTTTTTCTCCAAACTTTCAAATTTCCCTTCTTAGTTTTAATTAAAGTATTCATGAAATTTATGTTTAATAGTTTACCTGTCATCTTAGTCTGCTTAACATCTAGATAGGCAGACCAAAATGATAGGTAACTATGAAAATATATTCCCCCTGCAGACCATACAAAAAAAATTCACAATAATGAAATGGATTTTTATATTTATAAAAGAAAAGTTGGTGTAAAATTATCTTTATTAAAATTAATATAAGTTTACAATGGCAATTATTATTTTTTTAAATGGCAGAATGAATGGTCATAGTGATGGTGAATTTACTTGTGTAGGGGGCGCTGGTAGTTCGTTTGATAGATTTAAATTGAATTAATTTAGATTTACTACCCCATGTGAGTGACATCAAAGCATATATGTATTCAATTTCATTCTGACCATATGCCGATCATCGCTTCTTTTAAATTGATGGATATGCCACCCCCATGCAAATTTGTTCTTCCCCTAAATAAACGAAAACGGCATAAACGAAATGATTACACAAATTTAAAAAAATAGTAAACTGTTGTTATAATATTGATGTAAATAGTCACGTCAATTTTATAACAAAAGCGGTCATTAGTGTTTTAAATTATAATAAGACTTGTAGCTCTACCTATCATATAAAAAGATAGTGGTTTGCTAAAGAATGAAATATAGCCTGAGAAATATTTAAATTTATATACTAGACTCCCTCAGATGGTTTAAAATCATGAGGAACGTCTTTCTTGTTTTACAATATGCATTGGCGAATTGTAAACTTTGTATTTATATTAAAAAATTAAGACGTAGTAGAATAGTTTTTCAAAATTGGCACATTCCCTTTCTTAGTTTTAAATCAAGTAATCGTAAAATTTATTATTTAATAACCTGTCATCTTAGTCTGCCTACCAACCTACCAATCAACCTATCTATCAATCTCTCTATCTATCTATCTATCTATCTATCTACCTATCTATCTATCTATCTATCTACCTATCTACATATCTATCTATCTATCTATCTATCTATCTATCTATCTATCTATCTATCTACCTATCTATCTATCTATCTATCTATCTATCTATCTATCAATCTATCTATCTATCTATCTATCTATCTATCTATCTATCTATCTATCTATCTATCTATCTATCTATCTATCTATCTATCTATCTATCTATCTATCTATCTATCTATCTATCTACCTATCAATCTATCTATCTATCATCTATCAATCTATCAATCTATCAATCTATCAATCTATCTATCTATCTATCTATCTATCTACCTATCTATCTGTCTGTCTATCTAACTATCTATCTATTTATGTATCTATATATCTCTCGCACTTTTTATTAATGAAAAAGAAAACTAAGCTGTATTTCATAATGCAATTTTTAGCTTCTTAGATCACGCAATGTTTTCCAGCTCATTTATAATTTGGTGTAGAACGCCTCGGGGGCTATGGAAGGCAAATTACCTGGAGCAAGAGGGTCGGTTCTTGGTTGAAAGAAAACTGAGTCGGGTTCAGCGTGAAATTTCCTAGTCGGGCCTTTTCCACCATCTGCATCAGCATTTCCCTCACTCTCGAACCAGAGTCCTTCGAACTGACGAAATGAAATCTCACTTCGCCCCCTGACCTGTTTGAACATAAAGCCGTGTTTATCATTTTAATGGATAAGATAAAATAAAAACATTTGTTTGCATGAAATGTATCCCAATGTTTTTTATTCAAAATATTTTTTTGTTCTTGATAGCCTTATAATTTTTAACTTAGCCAGTGTGGTGAGTGTATGATAATTAGAGGTACTACAAAATACGAGGAGAAGTGTTGCATGAAAGTCCAAGAGTAAGGGTGAGAATCAAACAAACGACCACGGAGTCAACGAACTGAGAGTCTAACGCTCAAACAAATCGAGTACCGCGGTTTTCAGCACAAAAAATAAGTGAATTAGTTGATAATTAAGGAAGGATAGTATTTTGCTGTTGCAGTTGCTTTAAAACAACCTTGCAGCAACTGTCTCAATAAAGGATAGAGTAACTGGAGCAACACCTATTTGACTTTTAGTATTAGGAATAAGGGAATTAATCGATCGTTGGATAAATTTTTCCGTACCAAAGATTAGATGAATATCAATATAAATGTAAATATAAATGATAATATACTGGATGTCCAAGCTAATGCGCCCACCCCATTTTTTGTCTTTGTGGTTCTAGATAGAAAAAAAGTACAAATTGAGACTCATCTCCATTTTTCATGTAAGGTCGATTTATTTTTTTCAACCTCGATTCGACATAAGTCGAATTCAAAACCCCCATTTTTCACATTTTTTCTAACTATTTTTTCAAATCCCACCGGACTTATCCCCACAAGAGTCTGGAAACGAAAAATAAACAGCGTTAGTTCCTTCATTCCTTTGATTTGCTATTTAACATTTTTATTCCCTGAATAAATAGCTATGATTAATTGTTAACTCCACTGTGGCTAGTCCCAACCCCGGTGGAGAAAGTAGGCGGGATTTGAACTACAACCAAGGTATTTCGGAAAATGAGTCTTGGGTAAGATCAGGTATTGATCGAGGAGAAATAACGATGCAAAATACGAAATTAATGGAATTTGGCAGGAAATTTAGTAAGCTTTCAGACTTTTCTCATTGGCAGTAGAAGGCAAAATAAAGTGGTTTCGGTATAACGCACTAGAACAGCTTTCGGCGGCGGCACCAGTGAAGCGTACAACATGCCTCTGACGATGGGAGAGTACGAATCCACGTTGGGGCGCGCCCGGAATTCAAGCCCCGGGTGTGACGGTATCCCATATGAGATGCTTCGCCACCTTCACCAGGGTGCGAAGCGGCGTTTGTTGGACTTGTTCAACAACATATGGGATTCGGGCTCTTACCCCGATCGTTGGCGAGAAGCGCTTATCTTACCTATCCTTAAAGAGGGTAGGGATCCAAGGCTGGCTACGAGTTACAGACCGATTTCGTTGACAACCTGCTTGAGCAAAGTCCTGGAGTCTATGGTGAACGGTCGTTTGACCTGGCACCTGGAGACAAAGGGATTTTACAGCCAGTATCAGGCGGGATTCCGTAGGAATCGCTCTGCGGTGGATCATGCATGTCATCTCGAGGGCGACCTTCAGGACACGTTCTTGAAAAGAGAGCACGCTCTGGCCGTGTTCTTCGACCTCGAGAAGGCTTATGATACGTCGTGGAGATACGCGATACTACGGAAATGTCACGAATTCGGTCTAAGAGGCAAATTGCCACGGTTCATCCGGGGTTTCCTGGAGAACCGTAGGTTCCGAGTCAGGCTGGGAACTGTGCTGTCTAGGGAGCATGTTCAGGAGAACGGTATCCCTCAGGGTTCGGTGATGAGCGTTGCGCTTTTCTTGGTGTCGGTGAACGGTATCGCTGACGGTGTCCCCCCGCAGATAAAAAAAATGCTTTTTGTCGACGACCTCTGCTTCTACCATTCGGGTAAGGATCTGGCGGAGGTCGGCGGTAGGATACAGTCGGCGATAAACCATGTGGCTGCTATAGCCGAGGAAACCGGGTTTGCCTTTTCCACTTCGAAAACGGTGTGTGTTCACTTTTGAAGATTGAGGAGGCCCCATAACCGCCCTCAACACTGCCTGAGGGGCACACCCGTGAGATACGTGGAGAAGGTACGGTTCCTCGGCCTCCTGTTCGATGAAAACTTGAGATGTCAAGCACACATCGACGCCGTCGAGGTCCAGAGCAGGAAAACCCTCTCACTGTTGAGATTTGTTGGTCACTTTAAGTGGGGAGCGGACAGGGAGACTCTGCTAAAAAATTTTGACTCGCTGCTTTGTTCGAGGATCTTTTATGGATGTATGTCTTATTCCTCGGCCCGAAAAACGCGCCTGAGAAAGCTCAACAGGCTCTATTACCAGGGTCTCAGAGCAATCTCGAGGGCGTTCAGGACCAGCCCCTTGGCCAGTCTGTGCTGCGAGCTGGAGGTCTTGCCTCCCGAACTTCGGAGAGAGCAACTCACCCTCGGTTACGCGGCCGGGTTCTTGGCCAAGCCGGAGCAACCCCTCGCTATGAAAATCCTCCACTGCCCGTACAGAGTAGTTTACGACAGGCTTCGCTCGCGGACGCGACCCCTCGGGATCCGCTTCGGTGAGTCCTTAGGGAGGGCCGGATTGGCGCTGGGGACGGTGCTTCGGGTGGGGCACCGGCCGACACCCCCCTGGACCTTTCCGGCCGTACTCGTCCGCGACGATCTGGCGAACTTGCCTAAATCGTGTACACCACCATACCTCTACAAGGTTAAGTACCTTGAACTTAGAAATAGATACGCCGGTTTTCGTCTGATTTTTACAGACGGGTCCAAGACCGGCGATGGTGTGGCGTGTTCTGTGTATGGCGAGGGAGTAGCCACCTTTTGGTCGTTGCCCCCTCACTGCAGCGTGTACACGGCAGAGCTGTATGCGATTTGGCACGCTCTCGAGGCGGTGCGGACCGGGGAGGGCTCAGCCTTCCTCGTATGTACCGACTCTCTGACCGCTGTCTGGGCTATACGCGACAGGTTCTCTGTGGACCCTCTCGTCGTGCTCTTGTTAGAGAAATACGCGGAGCTGGAGCCTCTTGGAAAAACGGTGGTTGTTGTCTGGATTCCCGGACACGTCGGCCTGGAGGGTAACGAACGCGCGGATGAGGCGGCGAAAGCCGGTACGTCCCACCCTCCAGATCGGACCATCGCGATCAGGCCCCCTGACGCTAAACACGCAGTTAAAAATATGATAAAAGAAAGATGGCAGCGTCAGTGGGCGGGGTCGTCGGAGAGGCTCTTGCGAGTCAAATCTGAGCAGGAGACGAGGGATCGTCGAGGGCCAAATTCGGTTGACACATGGGCACCTGCTTTTGGGCCAAAGCCCGCGCAGGTGCCCCTTATGCAGATAAAGGTTGCTCGATGTGTCCCACATAATAGAGGCGTGTCATGCCTTGGCTCCATTTGGCTCCATACAGAGCGTGTAGGCATGCCGCCGGATTTAAGAAGAGTCCTCGAGCACGGTAGCGAGTTTCAGAGTCCCCTGTTCCGCTTTTTAGGGGAAATTGTTTTTTTTTTTATTGTATATAGTATGTCTTATGTGTTATGTGTCTATATGTTTTGTCTGTGTGCATGTATTTATTAGCGTGAATGGCGAGGGGTGAGGGTGAATATAACGTCATCAACGCCCCTCGAACGATAAAAGCGAGTGAGTGTGTGTTCGGGGTCGATGGCGGAATATTTATAAAAGTACCCCATCGACCCCAATCTAGTTTAGTTTAAGTGTAGGTCGGTGGAGGAATATCAAGTACTCCACCGACCAAACGGAATGAGTGTAGTGTATGGATGTATTTAAGTGTATGAATGTATTTATTTGTATGAATGTTGTATTTGAACGGGTATAGAATATAGAATATAGACTTAGCGGGGGGGCTGAAATGACCTAGATGTCGGAAGCCCCAGCAAAAAAACAAACAAACAGCATTTCGGCTATTTTCAAAAAATCATATCTTTGGTTCTACTGGACCGATATTAACAACTCAGCGTTCATTTTTCTTGCCAAAAAATCTAGTTTAAAAAAATGTGAAAAATGGGTGTTTTCGTTTAACATTAAGAATTTGAATTCGTCTTATGTCGAAACTAGGTCGACAAAAATAAATCGACCTTACATGAACGAACTACATGAAAAATAAATGGGAGTCTAAAGTCATACTATTTCCTATCTTGAACCGCAAAAGAAAAAAATGGTGGGCGTATTAGTTTGGACACGCTGTAAATACATAAACTATCCTCCTATCTTAGAAAATTCGTGTCTTAGAATAGTACAACTCTGCTTATTATTTACAATGAATTTATTTTAGTGAATGAATGTCAATTTTATTTCATTACTTTTTATATTTAAAGTTGACTGCTTAATTAGACATTTCAAGCTGATCATATTTTACTTCTTATAAATCGGTTCAGGGCTTGGTCAATTAAAATTTTGGCTGTGAAACGAAAAGGATGCTTGTAATTGGGATGTCTTTTTGGAAAAGGGGACAACAGAACGCCTTGTCTGAAGTAAATGTTCTGATGTGTCCTCCACAAAATTGAAAGGGGGGGTGGTGTTGCGAGTATGGTTTTCATCCCCGAAACACCCTTCCCTTTTGCCGGAAGGCTTTGTTGTTTTTGGCTTGAAGTTAGTTGCCGTTTTGACGTTAAAACTCACTTGACATGGTGTGAAGAGACGCAAAATGATTTTAATCTCAATTAAACTTCCTTTCACGCCAGGTCACAAATTGATCCTTCGTCATTCTTGTGGAGCTCTTTTTAGCTGGTTTAAATGTTTTTCATTTTTAGTATGTGCAACCGTTTTCGTTTAAATGTTTCTTCAAATTTAAAATCAGTTGAAAGCACAGTTTCACTTCATTTTCTTGTCGCATTGTGGCAATACTTCAGGCCATTTAATATTCCTGACCATGGATATATTATTTAAAGTTGGTATTGTTGACGCCACCAGGACATTTATTTTAATTTATTTGAATGAGCCCGAACAAGGAGACGTTAATTTTATTTGAGCCGAAGGAAAGGTTCGTTTAGTTTATTTGTTGATGATGGAGGATTAGTCGGGCGATAGTGCGGCGGG